TCAGGCCTTGGCTTTTAGTAGATGTTTTAGACAATGCTGAACTGAATTAAATTGGGCTCTTATATGTAACATCTTATAAGAGGCCTCTGATAATGTGGTTCTTTTGTGAAACCTAAACATCCTCTTCTCGATTTTTGCACTGTCCCTCTGGCCCTGAGCACCACCTGTCAATTTCATAGTTTGTGGAAGGTCACCAACTGTGGCACCACTGAACTGCATCTAAACCAAAAATATGGGTGGAAGTGCGGGTTTAGTGGCTATTTTCTTCTAACACATATTTTATGGGTCACTCCCCTCTTTCAAAGCATTGACTTTGTTTTTAGAATGAAGTCTCAGATTCCTAGCCTGAGCCCATGGGAGAAGGGATGTGCAATCTGGCCTCCCAATGCTACAGCATCAGGAGACGTGCTGGTCTTCTTTTTTCTGCTCAAATACACCTTCATCTCACCGTTCACATCCTCTGCAGGTCCTTTCCCATCTGCCTGGAATATTCTTCCCCTGAGCAACTGGCCTGTAGGAATCAGCTTAAAGGCCATTTCTTTGGAGGGGCCTTTCCCAAGCTCCAGGGTAGGCCTCTGAGATTCCTGTCACACTTGTGCTTCCTTGATCACTGCAATCTTTCCCAGCAGGGTGTGGGCTCCACGAGGGCAGGGACCACATTTCTCTTGTTTATCACTCTGGGTAGAGTCCTCAGTAGCTAGCCTGCAGGTACTAGGTGTCTTACTGATTATACCAATGAGAGAAGAGTAAAAAACCTGTGCAACACACATGTGATCTCAGGAAGCACAGCAGGTCTACACATCCGTGACTTCAGAGTTTACCACCACTTTATACCCAAATATGTAATGTAAGCTTATAATGAAATCCCCAAGTTATTGACAAAAGGTTCTGTTCAATGTGCTGTCAGAAAAAGTGGCACTGAAATTCATTTGGAAACTATTTCCATTACAATGGTCAAATTGAAAAAAATCTTCCTACAATGGGAACATTAACTATCTGAGAAAACAAAACACTTAGCAAAAAACCTATTGATGCCAGAAAAACAAAGTGTTACTCTACTTTGAATTAACCTAAGCTGTATTTATGAATTTTTATATTACAAATGGGTACATTTCATTTTCCCCCCATCTTAGTCCCCAGGAGGTTCACGGGCAATAAACCAAATGAATTTCTTTCTCCATTAGCCTGTCAATGCCACTTTCAAATGGCTCCCTGCCCATACACTCCAATATTTTTCTCATAATAAGTGGTAAAGCCTTCAGCCTTCTCATTTATCTTAACCACATCCTTTGTGTTCCAGGAGAGACAAGTAGTATATTACCTTCTATCTACATCAGGGAAGGAGGTAAATTGAGGCAAAGAGGCTAAATTATTTCTTAAAGTTCACACAATTACTCAACATTCACCCATCCATCTACATCAATGAAGCAACAAGTATTTAGCGATTGCCAACTGAGGCCAAGCTGTTTTAGTTGCTGGTAATATAATAGGAAATAAGATAATATCTCTGTTTTCATGTGGCTAATATTCTAGATGGGGGAAATTGATAATAAACAAGTAAACAAATAAATTAAAAAAATCAATATCTAATAGTGTGAATAGACTGAGTATTTGTATTCCCCCAAAATTCATATGTGGAAATCTAATCTCCAGTGTGATAGTATCAGGGGATGGGGTCTTTGGGAGGTGATTAGGTCATGGGGTGGACCCACATGAATGAGATTAGTGACCTTATAAAAGAGACCTCAGAGAGTTCTCTCATTGCTTTCACCATGTGAGGACACAGCAAGAAGACAGTCATCTGCGAACTGGGAAGCAGAGTCTCACTGCACACCAAATCTGCTGGCATCTTGATCTTGGAATTTCTAGCCTCTAGAACTGTGAGAGATAAATTTCTGTTTTTTAATCCATCCACCCAGTCTATGGTATTCTGTTACAGCAGCCCAAATGAACTAAGACAAACCGTGACAAGCACTATGGTAAAAAATAAGAGTTATTAACAGAGAGTTATTTTGATGCTGACTCTAACCCCAACCCTGGGGGCAACTATTTTGCAGCCAGGGAGGCATCTCTGAAATGGTGATAGCTTAGCTGAGCTCTGAATGCCAAGAAGAACCCAGTGAAGGGAATATCTAGGGGAAGATATTCTAGGCAGAGAGAACAACAAGACCAAAGGTTTTGGGGTGGGAGCAAGTGCGATGTGTTCAAGGAACAGCAAGAAGGTCAGAGTGGTTGGGATGCAGTGAGTGAGGTAAGTGGTGGGTGACAAGGTTGGATTTAGGAAGGAGCCAGCTCATGTGGGGTCTTGTAGGCCATGGTAAAGGGTATAGATTTTTTTCCAGAATTTTCTTCTAGTGATGGGAGACACTATAGAACATAAGCAGAGGATGACATGTAATTTATGCTTTGAAAGTTCACTCTGGTTGCAGTGTGGAAAATGGGTCACCTGGCGACAGGAGTGGAGGACATCAAATAGTACAGGCAAGAGATGATAGCACTTTGGACCAGCATGATGTCAGTGGAAGCAGAGAGTAGTGGATGGATCAGAATATGATTTTTAAAGTGGGACAAGAGAACTTGCTGATATATTGGACATTGAGAGTAAGAAAAATTGAGTCAAGAATGACACTGATTATTGGCTTGAGCAAATGGGTAGCTCGTGGTGACATTTACTGAGAGAAGATGGGGGGGTGGAAACTGATGTATTCTTTTGTTATCAGGGCAGGGAATCAAAAATTCTGTTGTGGACATATTAATTTTGAGATGCCTTTTAGAAATGCCTGGCCAAATGGTGATGCCAAGTAGGGAGGTGTTAGATCCGCAAGTCTGGAAGAGAGCATTTAGAGCTGGAGATATCAATTTGGAGTCACCAGCATGAAGATGGTATTTAAAACTCGAAAGTCAGTGATGTCACCAAGGAAGAGAGCGCTGATGGAGAAGGCCATACCTCCCAGACCCTCACCCCTAAGTCCCACATTAATTAATGAATATGGTCATGTACCAAAGCACAACAGTTTTGCCCCTTCCCATTCCATGAAATTAAACAAACATTACTGTCTCTTCTATATGAAAGGTATTACCTTAAGGAACAAGGAGCTACAAAGATTGGTAACTAGTACAAGATGCCATCTCTCAAGTTGCTTATAAACTTATAAGGAAAGAGTAACCAGAATATGTCAGTGTACTTCCAAGGGAGTGGAGGGGTCTTTAAAAGGTCAACTTCGGAAGATAGGCTGGAAGCAGATCACAGAGGGTCAAGAAATAGGACTTTTCTTTTTTTCCGATTAGGTAGCAGGACACCATTGAAGATTTCTGAGTTCCATGACCAGATTAACACCTTTCCTTCCCCGTGGAAGGCTTATTCATCCTCTCTGTTCTAGCCCAAATCTCACCCCATCCCTCTGCTATCATTCACTTTTCATCTTTCAGTCCTTCACCTTTATTATCTAGTGCTAATCCATTTAGCACTTGATGACACGCTGTCTCTTTCAGGTGGTTTATTTTAGAAACATCTTACTGCTTCAACTCATTTATAAATTCCTTCTAAGCAGGGTTCATGACTTAAATTCATAGTTTCTGACTCAAGAAAGAAACATAAGAAGCCCTTGAGCAATGCCTGCTGCTTCTTAGAATCGCTTCCTCAGGGGTTTCTTCTCTGACCTCTGATTAGATCAAACTCCTTTGTTCCAGGCTCTCATAGAATCATTTTCTAGCACGCTTCTCAGTTTTTAACTATCTCTTGTTTTAATTTTAATCTTAAAGTATCACATTTTTAACTACGTGACTATTTGAATAGGATCTGCCTTTCCATATGCTGTATGTTCCCAAAGGGCAAGGATCGCCTCTGGTTTTGCTCTTGATAGTGTCGCTTGTTTGTGCACAACAAAACAAACGTTTGTTGAAAAACTGAATCAGTAGGCATGGCCTTACGTGCTCAAAGGGTCAAGGGGCTTGAGCACAGCAGCCTCAGGCATGGTCTGACTGCAGTTTCTGAAAGAGCAACGAAATTCACAGAGCAAAACTACCCCACAGAGGGAGTTCCTCCATAAACTTCCCTTCTGCTTAGGGACAAACTATTTTCCAGAGAGTGGCTCTTCGATGGTAAGGAGCCCCCTTTGAAAGCTGATTTATTGTCACTTAGGACACTTGAGTCCTCCTTCTCACACAGCTGAGCAGGAGGCAAAGCAGAGTGTTCCCAACTGTCAGGAAGAAGCAGCACGCTGGCAGCAGCCACCATCATCCAGGCAGATGGAGCGACATATGTATATTTACATATATATTTCCTAATCAATAGGTTCCAGTGTAAACATGAAAACTCAAGAACATGATTGGAATTTAAGGGGCTCTGAAGGAGTTTAACATTTTAAAGAAAATTAGCACAAGCGGGTTTCTTAGCTGTAGATGACTTCAGGACAAAAATAAAAGTGCTACTGAATGATCAAACTTTCTTCCCTAAATTGGTAAATCTCCTCTTCCAAATTAGTACTGCTAGAATTTCTTCTAAGAAATGCATTTCTAGGACAAGCCAGAGCTCCAATTTTTTTTTCGTTGTTTCTACTTTATTTATTAATGGAGATACTGGGAATTGAACCCAGGACCTCATGCATGCTAAACAAGCACTCTATACCACTGAGCTATACCCTCCCCTCTGAGCTCTGAAACCTTTTAACTTTATTCCTGGCCCTGCCTGTTTCTCTGTCTCCCGTTACAGCCACACAGGCTTGTTTCTTCCCTTTCTCCAACAGGCCAAACTTGTTGTCCCCTATGAACTTTGTTATTGCTCGATCATTAGCAGTTGGCCAGTAAATATCTGTAAATGAACAAATAGGTTAAGATAAGCCAATTATACCCCAGCCGAATCCCGTAACTTGTCTGTCTGCTGTTTGGGCCACGAGTACTGGAGACAATATAATGATGGCCGGAAGATTTAGCCTACAATTTATTGCTTCTGATTCTTGTTTTGTTCATGCGTGTGTTGACGGGAAAAAAAATGCACAATCTAAAAGTTGAGAACTTGTTTTATTGGTGGATATACTGGGGGCTTAAGCCTGGCAGACAGGCTCTCAGATAGCTCTGAGGGGCTGTACCAAAGTAAGGAAGGGGCCAGTATATATAGATCTATAGGAGTTTTTCCAACAAAACTCAGGTAGTTGGAACATAAAAAGATTACTATTAATTAAAGGAAAACCAGACATCTTAAGTTAATGAATTTAACACTTTTCTATGCATGGGAAGATTCAAGAGTCTGGGCTCACTGAATTCATTCCTTTGATATGCACCTTAACTATCTAGGCCCAGTATCCTGCTTTTCTCCATCCTGAATCCCTTCAGGGTGCACATTCAGGGGTGACTGCAATGGCTGATGGCTTGCTGGATGCAACATCCTTTGCTGATATGGTTCTTTGTCCACACATGTGAATATCTTCAAGGAAGATGGTTTGCAACTTTTTCTGACACAGAACCAGATTTTGCTCCTGTAATTCATGTGAAGATGATCTTGTCACACATTACCAGTTGCCTACAACTTCTGTTCTTTCCTCCTTTCTTAATAATAGAATCCTCTGGGGGCAATGTATCCAGTTAAAAAATATACTTCATCTTCCCAGGCTTTCTTAGAGCTACTGTAGGTAGTCACGTAACCCAGTTCTGGCAGCTCAGCAGTAGAAGTCAGGTGAGGATTCTGGAAAGCTATAGCCTTCTTGATAAAAAGGTACAGATTCAGAGGCCATGTCTTTTGCCCTTTGACCTTTTACCCTTCTCCCTGCCTGGAAGGCAGACGTGATGCTGAAGGGAAGGAGCTGTCTGGTGTAGCAGCAGGTGCTGTCAGTGCTCTGTCCATAACCCTATGACACTCACCATTGCTATGTTTACCACAGGCTTCCTACTGAAAGCTCCTGTGTCTCTGCCAGAGGGCTTTTGCTGGCTACAGGATCACAATTAGCCTGTGTGTGTGTGTGTGTGGGGGGGCAGATTGGAAGTGCCAGAAAGTTAGTGACCCTGGAAGCAGCCCTCAATGACAGACGTAAATTGGTGCATAAACACCCGAGCTCCTGGGCCTTCAGGTGGGACAACTCTGAGGCATGAGCTATGCACACTGGGGGCAGAGTGCCTTGAGGTCCCCAGAGGGACTAAACCCCAGTTGTCCACAGCAAGAACTCACTCAATGCATCCTGTACTGGCTTTCTTTTCTGTCTCACTTCCCTACTCTCCTACCCTCCTGGGTTCACCTTCCAAATACACTACTTGCACAGGAATCTATCTTAGGATGAGGGAACCCAATCTAAGACATCTTGTGAGTATGCAGATGAAAACCACATGCTAATGGAGGAAAGGAATCTAGGAGTCCTTTGATGAAGAAGACATGGATGGAGCCCTGGATGCCAAACTTGGGCCCCTACACAAGCCTTGGACTTTCTCTTATTTGAGGAAAATAAACCTCTTCTTTGGGAAGGCCAGCACAATTGGGTTTCCACAGCATGCAGCCAGATGCAACTGTAACTGAGAGATCTGGAGGAATTTTTAGTTGAGTCCAAACACAACCAGTCATCAGCTGGACATGGACGCTAATAAAGCTGACACTCGGTGACTATGTGATTACCAGCCCTTCACACTATACTGCATGTTACTGCTTGCACAATGTTTGCTTACATGTCGCTATGATTAACCCTCACGTTAATTTTGTGAGGCAGGTGTTATCAACTCCATTTCACTGACGTCCAGAGAGGCTGAGTACCATCGTTACATGGCTAGTGGTGGAATCAGGCTTAAGTCTGGTGATCTTTCACCACAGGGAGCTAGGGGCTAGGTCTTCATTCTAAGGAGTCTGTGGCATTTAAGTAATGAGTTGCACCTCTGCCTGTCTCCTGAGATCCTGCGCTTTTCCATGCCTGCTTTCCATCATTACCCTTCACTCCCATGGACTACAGACATGTGCTTCCACCAGAGCTATACCTCCCACTGCCAAACTGCATCACTAACTTTACATACGAATCACAGGTTCTCCAAAACATGTGCTGAATCCTCTGGTCTCTACGCCTTAGTTCCAGCTGTTGCCTTTGCCAGGAATACTTTACTTCAGAAGTGGGAAACTGCTGTACTGAGGCCTAGTGAAGACGGTCTGGTAGCTGCATTCTCATGGTAACTGTCGTCAGGACACCCATCTTAGCATGGCTCAATACACCAAAAACATTTAGATGCTTAGTAAATGTTTGTGAAATGCAAATGGGTAGCCATAGTGGAATCCAGTTGAATTCCAATTTATGCCTGTTTAAAATCAATAAAAACACATTCTATCACACATAAAAATGAATATATCTCTATAGAAGACTTCAGACAAATGAAATATATGCCATTGAACATTTAATAAATTACATTCAAGTACAACTTTTTAAAGGACAAAAGTATAATGTAAGTTCATTGAAATGGTAAGCATTTAAACATCATCTGAACCATATCAAATAATACTCATTTATTCTTATGAAATGTGTTGACAACCTATAAGTTTATGTATAAGGCTCAGCATTTTCAACACTTCTGGCTTAGATGAGAAAAGACTGTGTTTTCTTAATGGTGATTCAGGAAATCTGATATACCTGTGTTACAGTGGCTGGTGTGTGGAGACAATGCTAGCACCCACGACTGGCTGGGCCCTGGAAAACAAGCATGCCATGTTTCCATGCTGTTCTGGGACGCAGAATACAAAGTCTGATCTTGGGTCAAACTACATGCAAGGCATGGAGAGGACTGTGCCAAGGGGTTCACTGAGGCTGGAGGACAAAAGGGAAAGCGAAGTGAGGTGAAGAAGCCAGGAGCCTACTTACAACCATTCTAGGTCAACAACTCCCAAGATATTTATATCAAGGTATCTGGTAGGAAATATAAATGCTCATTGGGCCAAACTCAAGAACTAAACTATCACAACAGATGCAACCTGGAGGACAGACTTATCAAACCTCCTGTAAACAAATGGCACATCAGTTCAAAAGATGCCCATCTGTCTGGTTTCAGTTGGCAAGGAATCTATAAAAATATCTACATGTCTATTTTTGGTAAATTTATTTCACAAAGCCACCATTTCATTTCATAAGGACAGTAAGGCTCATTAAATCACAAGACAAAATTTATAAATGGGATGACAGAACTATTTCAAATATATTTGTTGAGTAAAAGTATTTTCGCTAACTATAAAATCCAGCAAGACAAAAAGATAATTACACTAGCATTATTGTCAAAAGACTGTTAGACTGTAGATTAAGTTCAAAAGGTTAAGGATTTTACAAAAAGATAACATGAGTATTAATCATATAAAGAGTATTTGATTAGCTACAGAAAATGTTAGTAAGTGTGGTTTCTTTCTCTGAGCAACTAGCTTTAGAAAGTAATACCAACTCCACTTAAATTTTGACCTACTTTAATTCCTTATCAATGGCACCATAACTTGGAATACTTAAAGTAAGCCAGTCACTTTGGCCACCAAATTAAGTTACCATTATGTTTCTAAAATAATTTATCTAGGATACACTGGAGTAGCCTATACTTAATTGTCATACAGTACTGCACAAGCTTATAGATTTTTTTCATTATTTCCTTAATTTTTCTGAAGTCCTGTTTCCCAGAACTTTGATCACTAAATATGCCTACCTCAAGGTTCCAAACACTCATGTCTATTATGGGAACATGTAGGGTAAATCCATTCTCTTTAATGTGACAAGCAAAATTCTAAAAATGACCCCAAACCTGCAATACTGGGACAGATTTGGAGGTGTTACGTAGAGATACGAGGGCAGGGGACAGATCTAAGACAAGCGATTCTAAAGATTTTTATACTTTCAAGAGAAACATTCTAGGAAGGGAAAAGTGTTCTATAATCTAGGGCATGTTCAAGAGCCCCTGTTCTCATAGCCAAATATATGAAAACAGTTTTCTTTAAAGAAATACAGGTCTATGAGCCAAGACAAGCTTCGGCTAAATGATTGGTAGCTTTTGTTTGGCTCTGGAGGTTTCCATGGAAACAGCCTGAGAGACAGAAAAGGCAACATTATCATCTTTATCTGTAATGCCATCTGATAAAACTGCACACTGGTTCGTTCATGCTATCCAGAGCAGATGTATTACTTCTGATAAGCTCTGACAAAGGGAGGCAGGAGTTCTATCTGATCACACTCTGAATTTCCTGCCTTCCTCCGTTTGAAACCATAAATTAAAATCCTGATAAAACCTCCTCTGAACATTTCCCTCAGGAACCTCTAGTTCAAGTAATGCTTCAGTAATCAGAAGCCAAATAAAGAAATGTGAAGCACATGGAGCTCCACTGCCAAGTTCTTAAAATTATAGGACACCAAGCTTACTGTAGCTGAAGAAACTATTCTGAAGAGTATTTACAATTTCATTATATCAGATCTCAGCGAGGCAAGAAACACTGTCTTAAGTGTTTACACACAGTTGAATCAGGTGGTATCATTCATAATTTTTCCATGTCTAGATCATTTGTACGTGTGTATATTTATCTTTTTATCTGTATATCTATATATATTTAATATAGTAGCACACTGCACACACCATTCATTATGTAATCTTACATCAGGTTAGTGCTTTTCAGAAAGGCCACAAAAGCAGCCCTAAGCTCAGAATTCTATATCTGAAGTATATAAAAATAAAAACCTCAGTAACAATATAGTATAAACAAGACAAACAAAGTAAGGAGGCATGCAACCTTTAGCACCATGTTTAAGACCATAAAGGGCAAGAGTATTGACTGAGGGCTAAAAAGGAATTCAGCTGTGGGTTTCCCCCTGCAATGGGATCCCACAGAACCATCTTGCAGAATCCAGTACTTCAAAAAAGGGAAAGCCTGAGAAATTCTATTAACAGAAATGTCAAAACCCATAATTTCCCAGAGACAGATGATTTGACATTCTTTCTTTTTCTAAAAACACTGGAGACATTACTCTTTAGGAACAAATTGTTCACTTTTGGAGATAAGTTGGGAAATCACTGCCAGCTCAATGAGATAAATGATGCCCCAGTAAGTTGAAAAGACATGATATACCCCTAAAAGGACCAATTTACTCATGGAAAGTAGCTTACTAGTGAGCAGTTAACTCCCTGATATCAGCATAACAATACAGACAAATGGGCTACACTGGAAAGAGTCAACCTAGCACATACAACTATACGCTCCAGCAGGCAAGACATCTGACCAACACTCACTCACACCTCTATGCACAGCATTGGTGTGGGCATCCAAATCACAGAATTAAGTCTCAGCTTGTTCCTTTCCATAAGAAGGGACTGAAAGTCTAGGAAAGGGTTTAGTTAGAAGTTTGCTGAAGATTTCGATGGTGTAAGGGTGGCAGGTAAGAAGTTATAGGGCAGAAACAACTTTAGATATCACCTAGTGCAAATCCCTCATTTTACTGGTGGGAAAACTGAGGCCTCAAGATAAAGGTCAGCCCTAAATGACGGAAGAACCATGACCAGAAGAGAAGCCATGTAACTCTTGGTGCGGGACTTCCCCCATTATGCTGCTCTCTCAGGCTCTTTTAAATCTCAACATGTGTCATCAAGTCAAACTCAGAGGAAATGAGAAAGATGAGATAAGAAAAAATGCTTAATTTTTACAAAGATTTTGGTGGTAATTCACATTCTGATGTGCTTAATATTAACAAAGGGGGAAAAATCTCAGTTATCTTCTGGTAAAAATGTTATTTCCTGCATGAAACAGGTTCCTTTTCTGAGAGCAGTTTTTAGGCACCGGAATAGGTCACAGCTGGCAACTGTCATGTGTCCCATCTTTGTAGTTAGAGCTTGATTCAACAGATTCTCTATCATCAGGTGGGCTGAAATGACTGCTGTCTTGAGAATCTGTACCAATACTCTTGGTCTCTGACTGAAGGTGGACAGAAACCTGAACTGCTATCTCCTGGCCTTGCTCACTCAGAGAACCATCATCCGAATCACCTCCTGGTGAATTACTCCGGCCCATCTCTGGGTTAATGACATAGATGCCATCTTGAGCATTCAAGGCAGGTCTCTCTTTAATTCTTTCTCCCATGTCATCAGGGTCATCCACTCGCACAGCCTCAAACATCTCCTCTACAAAGGCCCGACAGTTTAGAATAAGGGGTGGCAGAGGGACGCTTCTTGCCAGTTCTTCGATATAACGAGCAAACTCCATGGTTTTAAATTGTGTGACTTTGGCGAGTTCCAGCGTTTTGGCCGAGGTGATGATGGGGATGCGTTTGGCGATCTCAAAGGCCTTCTGAAGTTTCTCTGCCCCTTCAGTTCGGAAGAATTCGTTGATGGCTTTCTCCGTTTTACGAAGATGGCTGCTCATCATGCAGAGCCGTGTGACATTCAAGATGAGAGTGATTGTAAAGGCAATCAGGCAGACAATCATGTAGTAGATACTCATGTCTCCTGAGGTGAAGATAACCCGCAGGGTGACCGAGTAGGAGGCACGGATTGGAGAGGTGATAGAACATGTATAGAGCCCACGGTCAGCAAAGGCTATGTTGGTGATATTCAGGAAGTTACCAGAAACCAACCATTTTCCACCTGGTAACCCAACAGAAACAAAAAATTACAGCATAAAGAATACTATTACTAAATACGCCAACCACCTTATCGATAGTCCACCTATTCATGAGAGTACTTTAAACTCATCTAGTAGGTCCTGCTGTTTGCTTAAATCATGTAAGAAAGGGCAGACTTTCATGCCCAGTGTCAGAATTTAAATAGCCTAGAACTTAAAAGTGGGAATTAAGATCTTTCTTCCTGACACTAATGATTATCACGGGTGCCTTTTCACTGCTAGATGTAAGAAGCCTTTCAGGGAGACAGGTGTGTCAACATAATGCTAAATGACTAACCTTAAAAAAAAGTTTGTATGTATGTGTGTGTGTCTAAACCACAGCCTCTACCTATCCATTCTCATAAAATAGAAGGCTGTGCCTGAGAAATATAAAACAATAGTTATTTCTGGGGTAATGGGTTACAGGTGATTTTTATTTTCTTTTTAACTATTTATTTATTTTCAATAACGAACTTATTTAAGAAGAGACAAAAACTATTTTTAAAAAGTCCTACCAATTTAATGTGTTTGTTCAATGACTAACTAGCTAATCTGGCATGCCTTGCACATGTTAATTTGTTTTGTTAGAAAAGGCTGGTTCATGATAATATCTTGATTTTCTGGCAAGAATAACTGAAGTACAAGCCAAAAGATGTCTCACAAGTCAGGGTAAATGAACAGCTTGGCAGAGAGAGTAAAGTTGCCCTTAAAATGCCTAGGCTTCTGTTTTAAACCTAAAACATGCTGCCTGTCTTCCACACATGAGGGTATCTTTGTTCAGGAATGTGTATACAAAAGGCTATGAGCAAAGCACAATGACCACCCACCTTGATTCAACATCCTTTAATAACTTGGCTCTGCCTGCACAATCCTCACCTTTTAAGTTCTCAGGGTACTCTGTGCATTAACTATGAAAGCCTTCAAAGGTGGGATAGATGGGCTAAGGTGGTGTACAGGTGAGTCCCAGTGACCAGAGGTGGTGTCCCAGAGGAGGCTGGGTGACTATGAAGAACCACTTGAATGCCTCAGCTTCCAGACCTCTTTCATCCCTCAGATTCTATACTTCTGGGTTATTTTAGCAGCACATCAATTAGAAAGCACTGTGGACTCTGCCCATTTTTATCATCAAAATTTTTCTAAATTCTATAGTAATATTTAAGAGCCATGACTTCACCAATATGCAAAGAAGAGGAAAGCATGTAGCTATGAATATAGCCATTATTTTACAAGCTTCTGTTCTATAAACTTGGAGCTATGAAAAGGATACCCTATAAATCCAAGGTATGATGAACTACATAGACTCCATTCATCAACCACAATACTATGACCACAGTCTAAACTCCCTAGTTCACTTGCTGATAATAGCTCAAAATTTATGAACCTTGTATTAGACTGACATACTCTTTAAACTCTCACTTGAGATTCATAAAATTTAATAAAATTGTCCAGAGCTGCTGCTGAAAGCATCAATGATAAATGTTAGCAGAAAGGCAAAATAGGAAAATAAAACCTCCATTCCACTTGACTGGTCTCATCCTAACCCAAATTTTGTTTATACAGTCATTCTGTAATAACCACATTGATTGAATAATGCACATCTTAGATGTGTCTGGTCAGGACCCTAGAGCCAAAGCAGTTAAGAGTCTAGTTGAATGGATCTAAACAGGGAACCCCAAATCACGTTCAGAATACACATACTGGGCACCACTATGGAGGTTCTGATTTAATAGGTCTGCGTTCTTAAGAAGGTCTGTTCTAACATTCACACTCTTTAATCCCTTAGTGGCCAGCTACTCAGTTCGCAGGTTAAAATGTTCAGCATATACTTTAGAAAGAAGCACCATCTGTCTCCTTTTCTGTTTTCCACTCTAATATGAATAGCCAAATAGCCTTATATTCCAAGAGATTAGACTATTTTTCTAGCAAAAAAAGATCAAGAGGAAATTTTCTGAAAGTGTAGCTTCTGAGGACCCCAGAATTTAATTCTTATTTCATTGATTTTTCATGGAGATTTCTTTTCAATGTGTTTTAATACAAGTAGTCTTCAAAAAAACTTTGTAACAGAACACTAGTCAAAGGAAATAGTATTTTGATTAAGGTGTGTTCACAGGTTCATAAACAACAAATTCAAACAAAATCCTGTCAAAAAGTAGACTTTGGTCACATTATTATGATGTTTGTGTGATTTTTAAGACTAAGAGACAAAAAAAAAATACAAGAGAAACTCTCCTGTTCTCCAATAAATTAAGGTACAGAATAGAAAGTAGGAATGAGCTGGAGGGTGGCTTATAGAGTTCTTCCTCAGTGCCCTTCTGATTCTCAGATGGACTTAAAGTTTTAAGCACAGATCTTTATGCTCACTTTAAAAAACATCCTTGATTTCCTCCAACATTTTTAGTTAATTCATTTCTGAGCAAAAAAGAATTTTATTTATGACAAGTTTACTTAGTCTAGTGAAAAATCCTTCTTGCTGTATTCACACAGGGCCACCACCCTGTACCACTCACATTACCATCTAGGGGAATGGTACCCCTGGAGTTGTGCAGTGCATAGCCTGCACAGCTGTATGCAGCAACCCTGACGTAGCCTATGTTCAATGAAGAAGGAAACCAGCTCACCAAGAGGAGAGAAAAACGCTCACCATCATTATGTGAAAGCCTTTTAAATTGATAACTATTCTTTATTTTTTTATTCTTCTGGTTAAGAAATTACAATTATTTTTTCTGACAGGTACAATACTCCAGGCCTTTCAAAAGCTTTAACTATTTACTGTAGTACTGCATCTTAGAGACTTCTTATTGAATATGTCATAAAACTAAGAAGAGAGAAGTAGTAGGAAATGAGTAACCTTGTCTAATTATACTCTGGCATAGTTACCTCTGTCTCTGTCATCCAGTTGCTGTCCTTTTGAGTTGTACCAATAGACATCTTCAAAGTGGTCGACTGTGAGAAGACACTCGATTGAAACACTAGTTCCCTCTCTGGCTATGATGACATCATCACCCGAATGGGAATCCGGTGAGAGTTCAAAACTTGGGAGAAATGATGCATTGAAAGAACTATGATTCACTCCCAGTGGGGTCACTTGGTTGAAGCCTACATCTTCCAAAGCAAATGCTTCTGGCACAATAACAATCACCACTAAAGTGAATAAACAACAATGTGGCTTCATGGGAAAATGGGAGAAACTCTTGTTTAGACTGGAGAACTCAAAAGCTTCTACACTATAACAAAAGCACAGTTGGTCATTGATTGCTTGGTACTGGAGTCTTCAAAAAAAAAAACAAAGGCAAGTTTCCGTAGTGTAGTGGTTATCACGTTCGCCTCACGCACACACAAAAAAGGTAGATCCAGGTATATTTTGAAGTCTTCAAGATTAAAAGATGTGAGTGGAGCCCAACCTAAAAGAAAGCCAGATATAAAGTTTAACCATCAAAGACTCATAATGGGGTGAAATTCTGTTCTAGAAATAAATAGATGTGAAACTGACTAGCATAATTGGCATCAACATGAGGGAGTGAAATAGAACACCACTTAAAAATCTTACGCAGTCTGTAGAAAGAGCACTAAGTTGGGAAATGGCAGACCTAGATTCTGGTACTAGTGTTGCTACTAACTAGCTGTAGGACCTTGGCAAGTAGCTGGGTTTGCTTCTCACCTGTCAAATGAGGGACTGGATGAGACAATCTTTAAGGGCTCTTCTAATTCTGAAACACTGATTCTTTTTCACTCTGACAAATTCCCTGCAATGAAGGCTAAAATATTTAGCTTAGTGATCTTTTATTTCAACCTGCACCAGTACCATCCGCTGTTATATCAATAACATAAATCAACTGGTACATCAAAATCATAACCTTGGAGCTCAAAATTTGAGTAACTCAAGTATACAGACACATTAGCTATAAATAATGCAAGGACACTTGAGGCAGTTTTGTTTTAATATTAGAAAAAAAACTGTACTACTACATAAACAGTTACCAACTTCTGAGGCTATAGAACCTCCCTCTCGGGCAAGAATTTTAGAGAAAAGAATTTTCCTTTAATAGTTTCTTCAATAAGAAGAAACAAAATACAATATACTTACGTTTATAAGAATACCAAATTTCTAACTCAAAGTCTATAAAATTAGCTAAGGGAGGAATCGACATCTTAAATGTCTAGTTGATAGAAATGCAAATATACACTACAGGGAAAGATTGTCAGACAAATTTAAAAGAAGAGTAAATATCATGAATAAAAAGCAAAATGACATCCAAGAACTATGTGATTATGATCCTCTTACTGGTAACTTGATTTCTCTTTTAAAACCAGACTCTTAAAGAAAAATTTCAACTTCTATTTCTATAAAATATGGGATGCAACACCTAGCTTTATTTCTTACAAGGGCCCAAAATAATTAGTTTTGGAAATTTACTCTCCTGTATACTTACATGAAGGCTGATTGAACATATAACATAAAAAGCAATGGATCATTGTACTTTGCCATTAAACTGTTCAAAGTCTAAATTACAAGTTGAAAATCTCATTTAGTTTTCATTAGCCCTTGAAAGGATTTTGAATGATGACAATAATTTTCTCTATCTTCCAAATTTAAGGATTTAGAATAAAACAGAACCTCAGATTTTGCTATACATAATAGATTGAACACGTGTTTATTTCCATTTCCTCCCCAAAACCCCACTAAAACGACAATGAAGGAAACAAAGCACTTGGGCATTGGGTGAGATGAAAGAAGTGATCTGATCCAACTTCTTTACAATTATTTGCTCCTTAAGATTGTACTATAACAGGAGAATGCTGATTTCTATTAGGAGGGAGTGGAGGGTACAAACAATGGAAATAACTTTAATTAACAGACTGCTATAAGCCAGGCACTGTGCTAGGGTTTGATACATGCAGTTCCCAACTTCTTTTCCACTACAATTGGCGGTTGTGATTTTCGTCCTTTATTTCAAACTAAGTGGTTCTCAATGGTGACAGGAAAGGAGTGTGCTAAAAAAGTGCTCCCAGTTCTTCCCAGGACTTTGGTAAGGAGTCCTGTGGCTTCATCCAAGTCAGCATTCCCCAAATTTCATTCATTTCTTCTACTGTCATCATTTTTTTGTTCTGCTGTATCTGTGTACCAAATTATTATTCTTTATGCTTTTCTTTCAACAACTCATTATTTTATTTTCATACATTTATTTTAAAAGGAAAGTCTGTATCACATCTGTGGATAAAACTAACTTTACACATAAGCACAATGAAAACAAAGCCATGTTATTAACTTCCAGAGATACTGCCATCTGCTGAAGGCTCTATGCAGGAGGTCTGCTCTCACTGTAGAGAGAACAAAAACCAAACAAACCTCACACAACTCCACTTTACTCGAATGCCACCTAATTTCTCACCCTGCCATCCCCTTCCTCCCCACCCCTTCACACTACTGAGTTTAGAACCACTCTTTTAGACTAGAGGCATATGTTGTCATCTATTCAACAGTATCTCTTGAGCACCTACTATGTGACACAGACACTGTCTCTGCCTTCATGGAGCTCACAGTAGAGGACACAGACACTAGCCAATACATACACATACAAGAAATGCTATCCAAGGGATAGCACAGGCCACCACAGCAGCACCCAACATGGAGAGCTAACCATGTTGTAGAAAGTCTCCCTGAGGAAGCAAGTTGTACAACAGCACCAGAGGGATAAAGGGGAATTGAGAGTAGAAGACAGTGATCTAGGTAAAGAGACAGGGGGCAGGGAAAAAGCAAAGGGTTCACTGGTTAGAAAAGACCTCCAAGTTGTGGTAGGGAGAGGTGGTGGCCAGAGTGCTGGGTCTGACTCCTGATTCTGGAGGTAGGCAGTGTGGACCAACAACAAAACTGGAGGCAGACTTTGGGAACTCGAGTGGGAGGCTGAAGTTAGTGAAGAAGATACCTGTCCAAGGTGAAGCAGTTGAAGAACTGGGGGCTCAGGAGTGGAGCAGATCACCTGTGGGGGTGGTGATGTCCCCCCCAGGATCAAAGCAGCTAAGGTGGAAGAAACTGGAAATGGAAGACATGGACTCACTTTCCCTGCTCTGAGATGGCAGGAGCTGCAGGGGAATGAATAGCCTTCACGTGAGAGGGATGGAGGGCAACAGCCTCCTGGCAGTGTTGCTGCTGTGCAGGTCCCTTCTTCATGCAGCTTCCCTGAGCCTCCTCTCAAGGCCTGGCTCTTCCTCTCATATGGATTCAGAGTACACCTGTATGCAAGATGGCTATTCTCTGATGCCCTGTAGCCCTCACCATTACACCAGTCACCTGGCCCTGGTATATGCTGCTCTGTATTGCCAGGCAGTCTACCCCACCTCACTATGAGCCCTTTAGCACAGAGACTGTATTTTTTATTGTTATACTTCATAACTAGCACATGTTCAATAAATACTTACTGATGGAGAAGTAAATTTGATCAAGTGTATGATGGATCTCTGTAAGCTGAAGAGTGTTATACAGCAGGGATCATAATTATTCAGATCTACATGCTTTTACTAGCACTTATTATATTCTCTGAGACAAAAAAAAAGCCAATGCTAGTAATCTTGAAAGATTTGAAAGGCATAATGCCTAAATGCATTCCTTAAATGAACTACTAACCCCCAAAGTCTTCTTTTACCATCTTGTCCTAGAAGATAACGGTGGGAATAAAAGATTGGCAAGTCCAGAGTTTCCAAACCAGGTTGAGTATCACAATTATCTAGAGAATTTGTTAAAAATATGGATTACTGGGTCCCACCACAGACCTAGTGAATAAGAACCTCTGGGTCTGGACCTTGGAATTCATGGTTTTTAACTAGCTTCCTGGTGATTCTGAGGCAGAGGGCCCATGGACTAGCATTCAGAGATCACTAATATACTTCCTCATTTCCTCTGCAACAGCCCTGCCTAATGGTGCTCTGGACTGCCCAAATACTTCTAATATGAGAGAACCATCACTCACATTTCTGGATTAAGATTACTCTGGAACATTGTAATGGAAGCCTCTGATAAAGGCAGGGTAGCAGAGAGGTTCAGGGTACAGACTCTGGAACCAGGTTTCTGGGACTTGAGTCCTAGATCTGACTCTAACTAGTCTTGCAACTTTTGTTCATGACAATCTCTCTGTGCCTCATCTTTAAAACAGGGAAAATAATAGCCCCTATTCTCAGAGGACTATTGGGAGGTCTGAATGAGATAGTATACATAAAACACAGAGTCTGGTAATTCACTGAAGTGATCACTGAATAAACTCTACTTCTTATTGTTGAAGGTCCTTTCACATGCTAAAATCTACACCTTACAGCAAAACCATTATTAAAGATAAGTAAAACATTTATATGGAATACCATGCAACCATTTAAAAACCTTGGAGGAGAGAGAGGAAACACCATCATGTAATTTCAGTCTTAAACTGTGAATCGCACACTTTTCTTTTTCTCATTGCACGTAAATATTTTACAATAATACAGATCTTTAAGCCAAACCATGATACTACATTTGTTTTTATGTGTCCTGAGTAGAGAACCGTTGTTGTGATCTATTTAGCCTGTGTTCCCCTTTTTGGAGCTTTGCCTTCTTGGGACCAGGAGGAAGTCAACCCATTGGCTGACTAAGAAGAATCTTGTTTTTGGAATTTGGATTGAGACACTGTGCGATAGGGCCATTTGAGGAAGAGCAGGTACAAAGGGACTGAGGCAACAGGTTACAGAAAAGACAACAAGGATGGAGAAGGGAAAGAGAGTGTGGTAGCAGAAGGCGGGGGCGGGGTGGCAGCGATGCTGGTGGCGGAAGAATTGCAGAGGGGAAGAGGGAGACTCACATGTGCCGCTCTGGCCCAGACAGAATTCTACTTCCTGGCTCCAATATGACTTTTTTTTTTTTTAAAGCTATTAAAACTACAAAATTGAAGGCTGAGTATGCAAACAATAAAGGAAATGGAGAAATGGTTAGGTGGGGAAAAAAAATTAAATTTAGCAAAAGTGACTGGACTGTGACTGTAGCTACCAGGAGACCCTCACCATGGATTTTCAGCTCCTCCCCTCCCCCGGAGCAAGGCGCACCAACTGCCCCTGTGGCCAAGACTTGCAGTTCCTGTTCTGTACAGACACAGCCATTTGCCTCTGCTAGAAGTTTATAGAGAAATCTACAAGACAGGGATTAAAAAATACTATGAACACTGTAAAACTGCTCTTACGTCAAAGGTGGCAGAAGCAGCCTGGTACACTGATTTCACGCCAGGAGAGCAGAAGGCTCCGTAATATCCTTATATGCCCAGTCAATAAAGGCAGGCTCAGCCTGGGCACTTCATACTCATACCACGGGCATCCTGAACACAAAGGACTTCTAGTCTGAGCTACTAAGAGACACAACCCATTTGCAGAGAAGAGGCCGTTGAGC